AACTCTTCTATCATCTGTATTGGCACTATTTTTTCTCCTGGCCGTGGCGTTCCAGAACAAAGAAGCTAAACCATGAGAACTCTCTTCCACACTTGCTTCGATGGCTATTTAAATTGAAAAAAGAGAATAACTATTTTGTATGTTCTGTCCTGCAAAACAACAACTTTTCTACGAAGATCAATATTCACAGTTTTGATGAGAAAATGGTGAGGCTACAAGCACTATTGGCTAAACCATTTTGTCACTTAATTAGTAGGAATCTCTTTTCATTGGTGCAAGCTAGTTTCAACCAGAGGTGCAGGGAGAGAAGGATATATTTGGTTTGGAGGGGAAGGTACTTTTTTTCTTTTTTGGTCTTATGAAAGTAATAGAAAATGAAGCAGAAAATCAACCACAAGAAGCATGCTGGGCTAAGCTGTGATGTATATAGATTACTGTGCTGGGTGAACCGAACCATGATCTGAGTGAGATGGGCGGTGACTAAATTTGAAATATAAATAAATAAATAAATAAATAATTTCAATACAGCATGGTTAATCAAATCATGATTTGTTTTTTTTAGATTTTTATCCTGCCTTTTTTTCCTATACAGCTCAAGGCGGCCAACGTACCAATATTCCTTCCTCCTCCTATTTTCCCCACAACAACCCTGTGAGGTGAGCTGGGCTGAGAGAGAGGGACTGGCCCAAAGTCACCCAGCCAGCTTTTCATGCCTAAGGCGGGACTAGTACTCACAGTCTCCTGGTTTCTAGGCCAACGCCTTAACCACTACACCAAACTGGCTCTTGTTAGTATAATGTGTGGCCTAGTTTGGTTTGGTTTGCTGTTTAGTTTGGGTCACACATCACATTAAGCCAAAATGGTCTTAATTTTGGCTTAGCATGTTGAAAACTCAACTACATGTAAACCATCGCTTGTGACTTAGTGGGATGTGTAAATTCAGCCCATGTGTGAAAGACTAACATGGCTGCTGATCTAAAGGATGTTTCCCTGTAAGAGAACAAAGAGGAAGAAGCTTGTACAAGGTGTCTTGCCTCGGCAGGGTGCTCTGCGTTGCAGAGACAACAGAATTCTCCTCATCAAGGCAAAGAGGCAACGTTCACCACAGCCATTCATGTCACCTCACAGCCTCAACCAGCATCTGCAGTCGCTGGAAGATGCTGTAACAGCTGGAAGAAGGTTTGTACGGGGGCATCTTCTGGCTATCAGTGCCAGTTGATAGAGTTGGAGCAGGTGAAATGAAACATCGCTGCTGCTTGACTTCACTCTTAAGTGGAAGAGAGCCACATTCCTTCATGGAGCAGCTTGGAAGGGGTGCTTCCCTCAAGTCTTCCTTAACACAAAGCACTCTCTCAAAGATTTGCATATCTTGCATAAGCTGCGGCTTTTGTTTGTTCAGTTGTAAATCAAGATATGGAGGAACAGAAGCACAGCAAATGGATACCAATTGGTTAAGGCGCTGGGCTAGAAACCAGGAGACCGTGGGTTCTAGTCCCACCTTAGGCATGAAGCCAGCTGGGTGACCTTGGACCAGACACACTCTCTCAGCTGTAGAAAGAAGGCACTTCTGAAAAACTTTGCCAAGAAAACTGCAGGGACTAGGCCAGGCAGTTGACAGGAGTCAACACTGACTCAAAGGCACCAAAAAAATAAAATAAAAAAGGTACATGAGTTTCTGATCTATGGTAGAGCATTTCCATGGAGACTTCATTCTTTCACCACAGAATTTTACAAAAGATTCAGATGAGGAAGGTTCAAGTCTACCTTCAGTTATGGAAGCTCATGGATAGCTTTGGGCCAGTCATTCTCTTTCAGCCCAATCTATCTCACAGGGTTGTTGTTGAGGGGAAAAATGGGAGAAGGGAGCACTTGATATACTGCTCTGAGCTCAAGAACGAAGTGCAGGATAAAAATCTAACAAATTTGATTTAAGCATTAGGAGTCTATAGCTTTGGGACTTGCTGGCATGTGCATTTCCTTCCTTTTCTACTCAAAGAAACTATCAGCATTCGTATTAAATATCTTCCGTATTATTCTACCAATAGAGAATGTTAATTTGGATAACAGTTTAGTTCTTCCATATGTTACAATGTCATCTAAATAATAATCTCTACCTTAACCAGATGCCTTCTCAGGAGCTGAGTCACATTCACTTACATTAACCTTTTGTAAAGTAGAAAAGGAGGAATTATGACATCATCATGTCATCACTGATTTATATACTCAAGAGACCAAAGAAGGGGGGGAAGTGTGCCAAAATGTATTGATAACGATAATTCTTTCAAATTAATTTACTAGGTCTTGGGTAGTGTTCTCAGAAAAAGAAAATGTTTCAAGTTTAAATTAATGCACTTAAAATTTATTTCTTCAGAGGTTTTTAATTTGATAAAAGCATGCAATTGCTACTGAGTTGTTCACTAGTTTGGGGGGAGAATTATAGAGAAGACAATGGCAAGCAGTTCTCATCTCTCCGACCAAGAAATTCCATGAAAAGTCTGTTCCACAGCTTATATATTATAACGGTTCTATATATTTTAGATTGGTAATTTTACTATTCTATTATTCTAAACAATCATTTAGCTGCCTTATATAAATTGTATCATACTTTATTAATTTTTATGCCCCAAATTCTTAAACTTTAACTTACAATTTTACTTGTATCGTTATATCATTTAATAGCTTGTTTTACTCTAATGAGTTGGGACTCTTGTTTCGTTTTGCTGGTCAATGACTGAAATAAAATGACTGACTCCATGAAGAATCCCTCAAAATGTCTGGATCCACCACGTGTATTAAGCTATGATGTGGCTTGTTTAGGATGTAATATGTTATGTAAATTTACACATTTGTAATCTGTGAGTAATTGTTTATGGTCTAGTGCGTTCTGCAAACCCAGCTAACTGCGATTTATTCAATAAACCATGATTAAATAAATGATTTAGCATGATATGTGAACCTGATCAATATGTATATTTATTTATTCTAGTTGCATACCGCCAAAGACTCAGAGTGGTTTATGGTAATCCAATTAAAAAAACACAACCACTCAAAACATTGATAAGCATCATTAAAATCAAAATTGTAAACATTATATAATTATAATAGGAAAAAAATAAATAACAACCAAAATACAACGCAAAAATAAATTGCGACCATTAAATTGAAATTAAAAACCAGCAGCAGCTAACTAATCCCCAAGTGCTCTATGGAAGAGTTCTATCTTAAGCTACTCCCAGAATATTAAAAGGGATGATGTAAGTCTTAATTCCACAGGAAGTCTATTTCATAAGGCTGGAGCAACAATTGAGAATCAGTGCCTCCTGGCCTCCGCTCCCCTTAGTTCATGAAACTGGATATCACAGGAAGCTTACTCCAGAAAAAGGGTAGCACATAGGTCAATTCAGGTAGGTGAGGGCGATACTGCAAGTATCTGGGTGCCAAGTCATATTGGGCTTTGTAAGTTAAAACCAGGACTTTGAGTTGCAGCTGGAAACCTATATGAGGCTGTCAGAGAAGGCTGTATACCAACCAAGTGTCATCATCCTGTTGAAGACAGGCAGCGATACTGTTTCATTCAGCTGATCTAGATCCTGTGATCCTAGTGTTTATTTTGAATCTGCCTCACTGTGAGCACAAAATGGAGGATGAACTGGGTGAAGCTGAATATAAATTCGAGTGAACGGTGATAGCTCTCATGTCTTGATATAGACTGCTGTTGTGTGTAATCTCCATCTGAAACTAGCAGTGGCTAGATGTACCTTTTACCAGTTTTAGAAGACAGTGGGTCTTATAACTGTAATTCATCTGTTTATAACCTGAATTTACCCAGTTGTTTTGCATGGGCTGCTACTGATAACTGAAAGCCTCAGTAGTTGCAGACACAGCACTGCAACTCTTTCCAAGGGGGTACTAAGAACAGCATAGTGAAACTTCATTTTAACAAACTAATTACAGAGAGTGTGTTCATTATTCTTTAATGTCTATCAAATATGAAAATATATCATTGTGCTGATTTGTATCATTTGCATGATTAGGTTATCATGCAAATGATTTGAACTGATGCAAATGGAATAAATTACCAGGACAATGTGATCAATTGCACGTGAAGCCTGTTGCACTGAGGTTCACTAAATTGAAGTTTCATTGGATTCTAGTACTCTAGCACCCAAATTGGAGCCCTATTACTGTCTGGGCACTATTCTAAGAGCTGGTTTCGGTTTCAAGTCATATGTATCTCTGACATTACCTTTTTTCTTTGATCTTTAACATATTATTGAACAATGAAAGATGACCTAACTGGACAATCTTTTGCCACCTGACTTACGCAATGGAACAGAAGAGAAAGACCACATAAAGATTATTTTCAGGAATAAACACAACTTGCCTAAATTGCTCAAGCAAGTTCGTGTCTGAGAATCTGAACCAAGGTTTTGCTGACTTATAGATAATAGCCACCACTCTGTATCACACCAGGTCTTATGAATGCTATATAAATATTTCATATGCCAATGTATCACTGAACATAGATTTCTGAGTCTGCTGGAACATGGGTTTGTCTCAGAGAAATGAGAGCATAATGCACAAGCCATTGCCAAAAAGATTGGTGTCAGCTTTTTGAGATAGGCAGAGCCAGAAACAGATGTCACTAGGAGTCTTGGAATATACTTGAATGCAGTTAGGCTATTGAAACAGAAACTTGAAAGCCCGACAAAGTCCCTTTCTACTTCAACTTATACCCAGCACAGTCAAGGTGGAGTTGCTTTGAGTTCCTTTCTGGCGCTTTATGCTTTCCCAGGACTCAAATATATTTTCTCTAATGGCTCAGCATTTCCTCCCGCTTCTTTGAGTCAAACCCATATTCCACCACATCAAGCAACATATGAGCACAATATGTTATTGTCAGTCATTCTCTTCATTACGTATCGCTAGTTCCACTTTAGAGCAATGGAGCAATAAAAAGATCAACACTACACAACATCAACAAATGATTATATAGCAACTTTTATTCTTTTGAAGGGCTGAAGTATTTAATATACAGAGCTAAAAAGTCTTGCATTTAAACTGAACATGTGAGTTAGTCTGATGAGGCTAACTTTGGCAGTGTCCCACAAATGACAATGCTAGCCTTCTAGGCAGGGACTTCTACAATTTCAAAATAGTCATTAGGCAGAATCACATAACCACCTTTGCCTGACAACACGTCTTTTTCCTTTTGAAACTGAACAAGCTCTCGTAGTTTTTCAATCTGTTTTTCCTGACGCCTACATCGCTGCTGTGCAGTCTTAAGTTTCTTCCTCAGTTTATCCACCTGCTCTTCCAATTGCTGAATTCTTTTCCTCTGATGCACGGTATCCTCTACAGTATAGTTGTGATCACAAAAAACAGCAATATTATTGGGAGTGTGAAGTGGTGGCATTAATAATCCAATGCTTGGATCTACTAATCTTGGGTATGTTTGCGGAGGTGGTGGAGGTGAAGGAGAAGGGGGAGTTGGTACCTCAGGTGGTTCTTGAGTGCCTTCAGACTAAAAAGCAAGACAAGAACATATACTTTACATTTGTTTTGTTAAAAATAACATAACACATTTTAGATGACAAACCAGATCATCTTTCTACTTCAAAACTGCATGCTTGAGGAAAATGATAATTTATTATTTTATTTGAATTAAAACAAAATAAAATCAGAGGTAGCAAAATCTTCAGGGGGAAAAATATGTTTAGCAATTGAAGGCTTGGTAATATTGTGAGCTCTTTGCTTTCACCTGAATCTTTTCACACCTGGACTCACTTTGACAATACTGAATGTACACTGAAGAAATTGATACAAGTTCAAAATACCAGTTGTGTAAAGAGGGGCAATTTAGTAGCACATGTACCACAGACTCAACTTTGGTGTCCGAGCACACAGAGACACAATCCTAGTACAGGCATTTTGTCACCACTGAGAGCAGATCATCAATTTGCACCTATGTAAATACCATTCTATATGGAGCGTGAAGGATATTATAAACATATCTTGATATAACAAAAGAAGCACCCACACGTTAACAGTAGCTACAATGTAAAACATTCAATCTATATTTTTGGACATCTACTGTAGGTCCAACATTCTCCAGTTCTGCCATGAACTGGACCCAAAAAGCATATAATTGTGGGAGGGTGGGGAGCCCAGAGTAAACTAAATCAGAATGTATTTGTTTTTTCAAGGAAGCAATGTCACTATCTGAGAGTATAAGCTAGCCTAGGAACTGACCCCAAATGTGAGGTCAGCAAAATCTCAAAACATACTTGGGGAGACACAGCTAATTTCCAGCCAAAGAAAAGCATTTTCAGGAGACTGAGGGACATGGAGAATGGCTCTCAGAAATTTGGATTGAATATCTTTGAGGGTAGGTGTGTTCTTATATAGAGAGAGCTGAGTGCCATACAGCAGCAGACTTAAGATCTTAGCTTTTAACAGTTTAATTGCTGTGAGCACATAATTATTGCCCTTATAGATTGCAAATCTGATAATCACACTGGAAGCTTCTTGTGCTCTTGTGCTTATTTTGTTGTTCCAACAGGAATAGTTAGATGTAAATATCTAAATATTTAAAGTTCTTAACATGTTCAATAGATCTATTATTAATTTTTCAGTAGAAATAATCTACTAATAATTTTCAATTATGAGAAATTTGGTGAAAACTAGGAGCCTTGTTTTAGAATAATTACATTCTATATTTTCCCTAAAGCAAAAGGCCACCAGTGCTCCTAGGCATCTGAAAAGGCCAACTTGGATTAGATAGGACAGCAATAGCATCTCTGTAGAGTAGAAAAGAAATAGGCCAGTTGGGAGATGAAATTTAGATTTATGAAGAGCCAGGACTTATGACTGATCTTAAGATAGGAATAAGGCAGTTAGTTACTTTGTTCATAGTATCTTTGTTTCGTTTAAACTAATTTTATCACAACAGAAATGAATTTCCATAGTTCTAATTCTTTAATTGATCCTATAGATTTAAATGGTAAAAATAAATCCTCATTTTTCCCCTTCCATTTCTTTTTTTGTTCTTTTCTTCTATCTACTAAGCCATTAGATGCTATATTTATGTTCCTAAAACTGCTTTTAATGCTTTCCAACATATGTGAGTGATCACAAGTTCTCAGAATTATTTTCTAAATTACAAAATGTTTTAGAGATGGTTCCCAGTAATTCTCAATGGCTAGCAAAATCAGATTACATATCCAGCTCTACTTAGATTTGTCTCTTGATATAAACAACTTATAACAGGATCATAACCTGTACATTTAATCCAGCCTAGAGGTTTCTGTTACAGATTCCTGTAGAACATTACAAACCAGAATGTAATCTATTTCAGTGAAGCAGTTTGGGGCATTTGAATAATTTATTATGCTGTTATATTTTTGTAAACATTCCCATTTGTCTTTTAAATGTACTGTATATAAGAGTGTAACTTATTTTTAACTTTAAGATCTTTTTTTGAAAGAATGTGAACATTTAATCATACTAGAATTCCAGTTGAAATCTCTACCAATCCATAAATCAGGAATATCTGCAGCTACAGTCACTGGCTTCAAAATTCACCTGCCTGGCTGTGCCATTTTGAAGCCACTGACCATAGCTGAGGATGCCCCTACCATAGGCCATCTTTCAGAAAAGACTTCAATATCTGAAGAAATTTATTAAGGAAACCCACCACTACTCAATTGCCTTGAGTAGTAGTGGTTGCCTACATAGCTGCTGATGTGAATTGTGTATTAAACACTGAATAAAAGGCAGGATATAAATCTAACAAATAAATCTTCCATGCTTATCTTTCTGAATACTTGGACTTGAACAGGAAACCCTTTCTTAAACAGTACAGCAACTCCTTTACTATGATATGGCCATAAAATGTATAGTTTATCCAATTATTTATTTTTAAGACAAAATTCCTGTTCCATCAGTACTAAAGACAAAAACTGTTTTCCTTCTCCCACCTCCTTTTAACAGCACATTGCCAGTGAAAGGGGACAAAAGCCTTTTTATTGTCTAAAACTGTATACCTACCTAGGCTGTAACTTGCACCAATACCCCTTCTGTGGTGTAAGGACAATAGAAAACATTACGCATGTCTTATTATATTACAACTTTTATAAAGATTTGAAGACAGATTTAATCTCCCCCATTTTGGAAAGTTCTCAAGAAAAATAACGATGCATATGTTATTCATGTATTATTCAATTCTTGTCCTAGTATTACATATATTTTGCTCAACTAGTTTTTTCAACCATTTTTGACAACTCGTGAGATCCTCCTCATCTCAGATTATAATTGATATCATTCTTGTATGTGTTGTTTGTATTTATATGTATTAATTAATTACATAAATAAATTTGAATTGAATTGAAACAGAATTATAGATTATTAGTGTTACTACATCTCAGTTAAATGCTTCAGTAAAAAAAGAACAGTTCTTTCCACTGGTAAACGATTCTCTTTTTTACCCATATTGGCTGCAATGAAAAGTTATTTTAAAACAATACCATTAAAATGTGTAAGATTCAGATAGCAAGATGGTTCTTTTCTTCCTGCAAAAAAAAAAAATCATTTGACTATATTTAACAGTTACAGCAGGAGGATTTGGAACAACAGCTTAGAAACATTCAGTACATGAATGTCTACATGATAGTGGTAGAGTGATGAGCTCTCACCTCATCTTCAGGCTTGCTGGCTCACACAAGCTGATTTTAACATGCATTTTAAATCCTATCCTCCACTGGCAGCACTGAGGAGCTATTAGCTATGCCAATCCTGGTTGATGTAGCCGAAATCTAATGTATACAGAAATGTAGTTGTTTTAGACCGAAAATGAGCTGATTTCCATGCATGGAACAACCCATCTGGTGGCCTTCTTTCCCTTAGGTCGTAAGAAAACCCCTGGTGGCAATTTTATGTTTAGACCAGGAATACTGGGGCCTTTGTTGCAATTAAACCTCCATGATATCACTGATAGTATAGCATCAGTTGCTAGTCTAACCATTTAAGACTGACTCTTGATTAGATTTATAGCATGTTACATCACCTATTAACAGTATGTTTTATGGGCAGTGTATCAATAACTAAAACTGTAAGATTTAAAACATAGTATGAATTACAAACCAAAGAGCATAAATATTTATTTTTTAAAATGGCAAAAAGTGTTTTGCTTTGCAGCAAAATGTCTCAATCTCATCTAGGATATTAAACTAACAAATGAGATTTAATATTTATACAAGAACAGTAAGTTATCTTAAACCAACCCTCTGGCTGTAAATATTTTTCCTAGACTGAATACTCATATTTCAGTACTCATGTAGTGTATTCACCAAATAAACCCATCCATTTCTTAGGAGGATGAGGAAAAGACACAAATATTCTGTTAAGAGAAAAATCCTATCGTCTGATAAAACAAGAGTTATCCATGATAATCTTATATTATACCCCCTAACTTCCAAAATTAAAAGTATTAGGGTTTTTTAATTAAAAAACTAAAAAAACTAAAAAATAAGCAAATCATACAAAATCTGTATATTTTTCCATCAGGTTTCATGAGATTTTTCACATTTTCATTGTTTCAAATTATATTATAGCATCGGAAATATAGTGGAAAATTGTCCAACAGCCTGAAAAGGTTGCTGATCTCTACCAGAGAATGTTGCAAGTAAGTTTGTTGTTTTAAAAGGGCATCACTTACTTGTATTAATATAGCTATTTCTTGGATGGAGATAATAATTTACACAAGTATTCCTACTTAGCTTCTTGGTTCACCATTAGCTTTGAAAGTGCTGCTGAGTAGACAAAAAGTACCTCACTTTAAATTTCCATCAAGTCCAGTACTGGCAATTTGAGATAGGAGAACTTGTGTCCCACATATCCATTGTTCCAAGCAAATCACTCTCCCCATTTCTCCTTGTTTAGAAAAGAAAAGGAAGTGGGACATTATGGTTGGAGCAGCAATATTCTGTCCATAAACATGACATGAGATGGAGTAATGTGCAGTTGTACAAAACAGTCAACATTTAGTACAGTACTCTTGCAATGGTGTGAAGAAGCATGGGATACTGTCTGATGCAGAAGCACTGCTCATTCTTACCATGTTCTTGTATTAACCCATGATAAACCTACCAAATTTAGAAGTATCCTTGTAGGAGTGATGAAATGTCTAAAGGTGATACAAAAAGCTCTTGGAATTGCAACAATGAATCAGTTTCTTCTGTTTTTGCTGTATTTTGAACAGTCCAAAATCAAAAAACACTCAAAGGTGGTAGATGAATAGAAAGATCATTTTAATTCTTTTGTCATCAACAGATGAATATAATATCCTTCTGCCTGCTACTGTATATCAGTCCCTTGCTTTCACAGTACCTTTGCTTAGCAATAGCAGCACTGCTGACCAGTATTCTCCGAATAACAGAAGCTTTAAAAGAAACTCATAAACCTCACTTACCTTCACATTTGGTTCTGTGTGGCAAAATATTGTTGGTACAGCATTGTCCTTTAATAGTTTATTGTTACATTCTCTTTTGAAACAATCTGGAGTAAAGTGTTCAGAACAAATGCTGCTATATTTTGTTGGTTTGAAATTTTTTCTTCTAACAGCAGCTTCCCATTTCTTGCAGAGATCAGGTCTTGTGAGAGGAAACCTACAAATAAAATGTACATCAAACACTTTTTTATTATTACTACCAAAACTACAGAGGGAAAGGAGGAAGGGGAAGCAGCCACATTTTCCCTTAGCTGATTTAAAAGTAATCTTACCATGCTTTTAAAAAGTTGCCTACAATTAAAGGGACATGGTGGGAATCAAGCTTTTGGATTTAATTACACATCTCTATTTTTCTGTTCTCCCAGTAACTGGAGATGCGCTAATGGGAATGAAAAACAGAAAAATCAATATGTGCAAGCTGACTTGTCAGTAAGCAGGTCTATATATTCAATTTTTTGTGAACCAACTGTGGATTCCTTTCTACTTATGACCTGTGGGAGAACTTCCAAACAACCCTTGTTTCTGTAACTTCAGTCCATATTTGTAGAAATTTTTAAGGAACATACAGAGTCCACAAAAACTCAAGATTTGTTACTAAGTCCATGGAAAAGAAAACATTTATATTAAATGTGAAAAGCTCCAAAATCAGTATTAAAGCTGTATTTTATAAGCCAACTGTAGATTTACAGATACCATGCAAACGTTCAGGTTCTCAAAAGCACGTATTCAGTCAAGATGAACTTCTGGACATTCAGAAACGTGTATATTTTATTTGTAAACTTTCAGTTACCCTTATAACAATACTGTATTCACCTCTTTTTTGGTGCAGGTCAACACAGCTGCTTTTAAATTGTTAGGAGGAAATGGTATAAATATGGTACAAGTGTAAGAAAAATCTACTAACTGGACACATGCTAGATTGCGGGGGGGGGGAGGCAAAGAGACCATGGAAAATAGCAAAACAGCAAAACGAGATGGAAACTTTCAACCGTGTCTACAAAGAAACAGAAGTACCACAGATGCCCAAACCAATTTGTTACAATTCTCCCATTAAGAAATTAGTTCAGAGTTCTGCACTATCGCAGTGGTAAAAGGGCACATCCTTGGGGTTATGCCAGAGAATAATGCTGACTGAACACTGGGATTAAAAAAACCAACACTCTGGTTCCAGAAACAGAATCGAGGCATACATTTTCCCAAACCCACCTAAGGCCCAAAAGCAGCCGTGAGTCTGCTCGCTTTCAACAAAGCCACAAAATTCTTTACTTTTGCTGGGGAAAAAACCGTATTGGCCCAACCAGCGCTCGGGTGTAAAACCTGGATCAAAACGGGGGGGGGAAACCCTTATCCATCCCGTTTTGCGGACTACTAATAATAGTTATTTTAACAAATCATAGGAAACCGCCCTCCCCCGGGCTGTCAGAATAATTGAAGCGGCCCTTCACTGTTATTGACGGTTAAACAGGCGCGCGCCTGCGCGCGTTCGATCCCACCAGTCACACACGTCTCGAGTTTTAATTTAAAAAAAAAAACGAAAGGACCCAGCTGGCGCACTTAGCCCCGCCTTCTGGCCGACCTCCACAGAAGCCGCGCACTTTTTGAAGTCCCTCCCCCTTTGGGCCGCGCAGGCGCTTTGGCTCCGCCTTCCTCTTCGCGAAGCGAATGCTGTCTCCCTTTCCCGCCTGGTCAAGAGAGTCTCTTTCCCTCTCTCTCCCCCGCTCCCCATTTTCTGCCCCCGCCCCTACTCACTTGTGGAAAGAGATGGGCTTCTCTTTGTCGTATCGATTCCGGCAACGGTAGGCAGAGCAGGACTGCACCATCCTCTCGTTGCCGTCCCCGCGCCCGCTTCTTTGCCACCCCCGGGGTTTCTCGGGGGAAAAAAAACAATTTAAAACACGCGTCGATCCAGATGCTTCCCTGAGGTCTTCGCGTTCCGTTTCAAAAATAAAAAAAATCCGAAGAACGACATAAACTGGCTGTGGCCTCTCCCTCTTTCAACATGGCGGTGCCAGCTTCAGATCAACTCTCTCGAGATCTCCGCATCGGGCTTGGCTATTGGTCACGCCCCGAAATGTTTGGGTGCGACGCGTCTCCGTCAGAGCAGCCAATGAGGAGAGCGACTCATCTTTTGACGCACGCAACCTGGCTTCCGAACCCGCAGACACACGCGCACCCGTCCGAAGGCTTGGGCGGGCGCGTGACGGTCTTCGTAGAGCGGCGTTCTGTTTTAGAGCCTTCGGAACGGCGATGCGGGTCCCAGAAAGGGAGGGCCTAGCGCGCTTCTCTAGAATGTACAGTATTCTCTGTCCTGCAGTTTAGTCTTGCTTGCTAGGAAGGGTGTTCATTCCTAAAGGATGAAGTTGGAGGATTGTCGTCATCTAACCTGTATCAATCCGGACGACCATTAGATGGCAGCAAGAAATTAGATTTCCTGTATTTTTACGGACATCTAATAATCGTGTAGGGTTGTTTTGTTTTTTTTTGCAACCCAAGTGTTAGTTTACAGTACAGGGATGGGATGTAAATGCCTCTTGCGGTTTAGACCTATAATAATGGTTGCCCTTCTCCCTATCCGGAATGCGTAATAGGGCTTGGGTTTACACGGTTTCCAGATTCTTGGCCTGTGTTATTACAATAGGGGTTAGTCTTAGCATAGGAGTTGGAGTAAGCGTCTTCCATTTAGTAGTCCAAAACGTCAAGAATGCATTATGTTCTTCATTTATACTTTTGCCTTTCTTTTTCAGCCATGTAGAACGTAAAGTGATATCATAGTAAAAACAGGAATAACAGGATAGGATTGGATTCCAAAATGGGCAATCCAATTTCCGTGAACGTTTAAAAATATATGATCCAGGGATTCACAGTAGTCCTCCATCCTTAATTCAGAAAATAAGAAAATAGTCTTGGCATAAAATGCGTTGTCCCTGTTGCCCGTCTCTGTTCTGCTCTTGTTGCACCTGCCCCAGATCACTGGAGTATAACATTGCCCTACTTTGTGAGTGCCATTTCTGATGGGCATGTTGGTTGGTTTGCTGTCATCTTCTTCAATGCTGTGAGGATTGGGTGAACTGCCAATGAAAGGATGGCAACACTGGGCCGGGTATATTCCAGCATGAGGAGGGAACTGGAGGAGAGAGATTTAAGAAGTATAGGTGGAAGGACAAGTCTGAAGGAGGCTCAGAATCTTACTCTGGAAATATCTTCTGTCAGGGAGAAAGGGTTAGGAATATTTTTAGTGTGAGGACAGGCTAATATTGATAGGATATAAGCACTTTGTCAAAGTAAGTAAATCAGTTTAAGAACAAATTTTAAAATTATTTAATAAAAGTCAGATTGTTTCTGTGCCAATCAAGTGGCTGCACTGACCTGTATTTCCCCACATTCCATCCAGTTAGACTTAGTACTTCTAAATCAGAAAAGGGGCTTAGGAGTGGCAGCACCACAAAAAGATAATGGATAAGACACCCCCCACCCCAGAATAAGGAGAATGTACAACAAACACATGGCCAACAAAGCAGGGAAAACATCCATCCAAAAGGCACTGCAGCAAAAATAAGGTGGGTCTGTCTTCCGGTCTCCTAAAGGCTTTTTTTGCTTGCCTATACTCCCATATTTCCCAAGTTAAAATAATATAAAATAAAGAAGCATCTGGGAAGACACCAAGCCATAAATAGGAGAGAGGAGATTCTGCCATAATTGTATAACCAACTAGATCCTGTAGAGTGGAAACTCAAATTCTATCTATCTATCTGATTTACAGTATATGGCTGCCCATCTCACAAGAAGTGACTCTGGGCACTGTACAGCAAAAGATATAAAACAATAAACATGTCAAACACAGTCATATTAAAAACATACACACACACACACAGACACACACACACAAGAGATTAGATCAGCAAGGGAGTCACCTCAAGATCTTACCGATCTAATCAAATTGATTAGATGCTGAGCAGATTACCTCTTTTACCTCAGGGAAGGCAGGGGAAGACTAATTGAAATAAAATAGGGGAACTGGGAAATAAACAACAAAAGTACAGTTTGATATCCCTCATTATTTCTTTGGATACTGCAATCAAGAAAAGTTGGGCTGCTGTATCTAAAGGGACGTGCCATTTCAAAATACTAGTAGTACCAGCACTAATACACCTTTTCTTCCCCAGATAAAATAATAAAGATCAGCTTTCCTCTGCACTGGAAGCCTGCAGAGCAAAATGGGTAGGGGGGACTGCCAGGTATGAAAGGAACTCAGGAAGCAAAGGCAGAGAAAGAAATGGCTGTGGGGGAATGTACACACCTCCCAGCAATCCCAAACACATATCTCTTTGCACGGGCCACCTGTCCTTGCCTCCAAGGTAAGTGACAAACAAATATTTTACACAGCATGAAGGTGTAGTGGGATAGTGTTGGCCTAAGAGGAAAATTTTATTTTTATACTGGTACAGTCAAAAATTACTTAAGGCTGTTCACTCATGGGTTGGCAATGAGATGAGTCATGTGATCAAGGGGGAAGACAGATGGTTAAAGCATGAGACTGCAATGGTGCAAGTAGAGAGAAGGTTACAGATTGAAACTAGAGCTGGGATGTCACTGTGAACTCAGAAAGGAAAAAGGAGCAAAAGGGATGCTTTACAACTTTGTAAATCAGCTTTAACCTTACACATTGATGGATATTGGCACTGCTGAGTCTGCTTTTTCACTACTACAACTCTATCGGTCATTAGCTACCCCTACTTACCCTCAAATCTGTCTCAGCTGTTTATATCTGGAACTGAGGGATGAACTATTTCAGGTATAAAAATGAAACACCGTGCCATGTTAATTGTATGCACAGCTGCCTATAAGTTTAAGGCATGAATAAGAACATAAGAATAATGTGCTGTATCAGATGAAGGCCCATCTTGGTCCCATATTTTGTTTCTCAGTGACCAACCGGATTCCTCTGGGGTGCCCTCAAACAAGAAAGGGTGTATTTCAAACTGGATGTAATGTTAAATCTTAAAAACGAATAGCCCTCGATAAACCTGTCCACCACAAATTTGTCCAGTCCATCTTGTATTCAATCCTCTTATATTGCAGTTTCCACTTGGTAATTATAGCACAATACTTGAGAAAGCTCCGCCTATGGCTCCCTCATACCTTCTTGGCTTAAAGACTTATTATCTGAACAATGCTATCACTTGTATGTATGCAACAAAACAACAGTTTATAAATAGCGTGATCTAACTTAGCAGATACAGCCTTGTGTAGACATTTTCAGGCCATAGCAAGATAAAATGCAGCTCGCATATAAAGAATTTTAGTTCCAGTCTCCATCTGAAGTCATACAACTCCCATTATTCCCATTCAGTGACGATGCTAGATCATGGTGGGAGATGTAGTGTAACACAAGTGGAGGATATCAAGTACGGGAAAGCTAAACGTTTACACTGACATAGTTCTTTTTTGAGACTGCCATACAGCATAGAAATATGCTATTCCTAAGAGCTAAGTAATGTACATTTCTAGCAGCACATCAAATGTATGTCATTTTCAGTATCAGACCGATCATAAACGTGTGAGTCTCATTTAGACAAGAAATAAGCACTATTAATCTAGGACTTAATATACAACCGCTGAATAGGATTGCATTTCTTCTGAAATAATAGGTTTTTCTACATGTTCTGGTTGCTGCACCACAATGCCATCCAATTACCATTTGTCAAGGATGTGTCCTCACAATAGAGCTTCTATTTCATCATCAGCTGCTTCTGAGACCAGCTGAAGTCAGAGTAAGGGTTCTGGCATGAAACTGGTGTTTTCCATCTTACGCCAGCAACAGACATCTCACGTAGACATTCTACCGCACATGGAAGAGCTTTATGAGATCAGCAATCTGCAGGGCTCCAACTGGCCCACAGTAAGATCCTTTTTCCTTCCAGCCAGAGAGTGTTGCACCTGAACAGCTGTTTTCTGCAGAGAAATTGGTCACCTCACTGGTATGGCCTGTTTCTTCTAATGGGAATATTGACCTCATGGAAACATGGCCACTGGTCTACCAGGAAGTCAATATTCCCATTGGTAAGCAAAAATAAAGAAGGCAGAACTTTGCCTAGCAACTTTTCTTCCATTGGCAGATGAGGTAAAGGCGCAGTAGAGAGCAGTGACTGCAAAGTGTGGCTGCAAAACACTCAGTTCTCTTAGTGTATGTATGAGCATGTATGCATATACAGTATATGTGACTGTATGTATGTATGTGTATGTACAGATGGATATAGAACGATCTGCAGTGGAAAGGTTCATTCCATACAATAAATGTAAAGAGGACTGTTCCCTTTGCTGCATTTTAAAGATTTGACTCCCCCATCAGTATTGAAGAAGTGTGAATCTGGGCCTATTTAATAAGGGCACTTCCTAAAATGGGTATATAGGAATAACTGCTTAAAAAAGGGATTGGGGGAAATGCATTCATGCCAGATTGAAAGAAGATTTCAGTTTTGCAAGCAGGAAGGCTTGTTTCAATTTTGCTTCAGTTGGAGGAAGGGGTCATGACATAGTATGGTGAGGGGAGAGGAGTATTCTATATTCCCATTCAAGACAAAACCACAGAAGAGGCACTTGCAGACTTCTTGAATAGTTGAGGAACACTTGAGATGGGGAATCACACCTAGAAAACCTCAATCCTTTGGGGAAGTGATAATTAATCTCTGCTACTCACAGGAAGGAGAAGAAACTATGACTATTTAGAACTCATCTTCTGGCCAGGACACCATCAGTAAGAAGAATTTCATTGTTGACAGCCATGCAAAACCTTCAGAAGTTCCCGTACAAGAGTGCCTATTCATATTGTTCACAAGTGTTCACTTCCATTGCAGCACTTCTCTTCTTCTGGGGATCAGACATCACGTTTTTTTTTCTTTTTTAGTTCTATTACTAGTGCTTAGTAGTGAAAGTCTAGCAAAGTAGGACAGAATTAAGTAAGCAATCACAATGAACACCAGAACCCTAACTCACCACCCATTTACAGAAGCAATTGGTAGTTGGTTTTCCTGCTGGTGGAAGATGCTAGGTGGGAGAAGGAAGGAAAGCAGTGTAGCCACCAATCACTGCCCTGAACTACTTAAATTGATCGGACCTGTTGTCAATGCACAACAAAGGCAAGTTGTGGAACAGAGGTCTCTACATTGATATATTTTCCTCTTGACTCAAGGATGGGAAGAAAGCAGATTACTGCAGGTTTACAATTTTGAAGTGTTCTTGTAGCCAACATTATACATGGAGGTCCGGGTAACCAAGTGATCAGGAGTGCCTTTGCTCAACTGTAATGTTACAACTTGGAGAGAGTAGGTCTCACATGTTTTAAATGCATCTAAGCAATTTTATTACTTTATGTGTTTCCAAACTCCCCTTCACAATGGATGCTAATGAAGTGCACAATAGCCTATGGAGTAGATCCAGATTTAAGCCATCCATATACTTACTGAAATCAGTTGGTTAAATCTATTATGTTGCACAAGTATTTCACTCTTGAAATTAGACTTTCCTCTCCCTATAAGATTAACACAGGATTCCCCAACATCTTAGAGCAAGTTTTGAGGATGTGAAATGGGTATCACCTCCTCCATATTCCAATGATGGAAGCAGCTCGATTGGCTGAAGGCATGAATTGGATATCAGGTCTCAAACTTGAGTTAAACATGACAAATTTCTGATTTGCTAAACAATATCCTTCATGAAATTAGAGATCAAAAAGCCAAAAAAAAAAAGTCCCCTATAAATTATGGGACACAACACAGACCTTATTCTACCTCCACTAATAAAAGCTCTCTGAGAAAGCTTCAATAACATCTTAAAGCACAGAATGTGATGCCATTCTTTCAAGACAGTAACCAAAAGGAAATGTTTTGCAGATGGAGTCCACTTTCATTTTTGATTTTAGGACCCAGTGAGAGCTGGAGGAGTGGGTGGCTAGTGACGCAAAGTGGAATGGGACCGCAAGGTTCGGATTAGACTGGGAGGGTTAAATGGGAAATTGTCCTCCCCCAAAGCAACATGTTTGCCCCTGAATTTCTGCAGTGTGATCTGGAGGTGTTCTGACGGTAGCATAAAATAAAATAGATGTGGGAGCCGCTTGTAGGTTGCCCATTTTGCAGTAAGAGCTTTACACCTCACTTCCAGGAAATAGGCAATGAGTCTAATACTCTCCGTGCTGGAATGATATGTTTCCACTTGGTTGACCCAGGGAATTCTGGCAGCCAAGTCCTGCATGAGTCAGTTCTTCCATGTTGTCTTCGGGGGCGGCCTCATGTACAACAAATATACTGTACTAAAATCTGTTTCTCCTATTCCCACAAAACATGTAGAAAAGTATCCAGAACATGACCTGAAATGCATTTCTCTCAACATGCAAGTCTGAAATCCATACAAGGGAAAACTGCTTTGAGGAGCTTGCTAGAGTATGGAAAAGGAATATAGAGAAACCTATCCTAACTGATAAATGTAGTAGACATGCCTAGCTTTGTTGTATATTATGGACCTTGAAAGAAAGGCAGTTCAGTTCCATGCTGTCTTCTTCTACTGACAATTGAAGGTAAGTCTACTTAGGATCAGACTGTCTTTTAGATGGACTGTTAAATTAATTTCCTTTTTTTTTTTTTAATGAAGCCTGTTTTTATTTTTGTACATACGATTTTCAAAGATTTGTTTTATTATGTCTTAGTTTTGCTTAAGATTTTTTTTTTTTTTTTAAACCCTCTCTTCTCTTTTTTTTTTTTTTTTAAACCCTCTCTTCTCTTTTTTTTTTTTTTTTAAACCCTCTCTTCTCTTTTTTTTTTTTTTTTAAACCCTCTCTTCTCTTTTTTTTTTTTTTTTAAACCCTCTCTTCTCTTTTTTTTTTTTTTTTAAACCCTCTCTTCTCTTTTTTTTTTTTTTTTAATACGATTTTCAAAAATTTTTTTTATTTTTTTTTTTTTTTTGAAACCCTCTCTGAGCTCTTCTGGAGGAAGAGCACCATATAAAGTTCTGCCTCCTGTGTTTTGGATCAGTGTCTCACCTAGCTACTCAAGGTCTCCCAAGAGGTGATAATGTGGTGGTGGATGTTTCTCTGAGGGATGGGATGGTTTTGCCTGCTTTGAAACAAGTGGTTTCAAAAGCGAAACCCTCTCCTCAAGAGGCCATCACTGGATCCAATGGACAATTTTCATCTAGTCTCCAAACTTTTCAGGGAAGATTGTTGAGGGTGATAGGCTTACAGCTTCAAAGGTCCCTGGAGGAAGCAGATTATCTAAACACTTTTCAATCAGGTTTCAAACCAAATTATAGTATAGCATTGATCCCACTGGTGGATGACCTCTGGCAGACATGGTAAGGGAGTGAGTGCATGTGTCCTGGTCTTTATTGATCTCTCAGAGGTTTTTGAGACCATCAATCATGGTGTCCTTCTGGACTTGGTTTAGGGGATTGGGAGTGGGGGGCACTGTTTTACAGTGATTCTCCTTCCTCCAGGACTGGTTCCAGTCAGTGCTGGTGGGGGAGAAAGGGATCCAGACCTTGACCCCTGCATTGTGGAGTGTCTCAGGGCTTGACTCTCTCCCCACTCCTATTTAACCTCTGCGTGAAGCTGTTGGGTGAGATCATCTGTCATCCAGGGTAATATCAGTATGCTGGTGGTACTCAGCTGTGGCTTTGCCCCAGGCTGCCCAAAAGTAATGTTCTCATGGTTATTTCCAAATGCCTGGAAGCTGTGGGGATCCAGGCTCAACCCTAGCAAGACTGAATGGCTTTTTTGCTTATCTTAAAACTCTCATGGGTTGCTCTTGGCTTAAGGGGGGAAACACATCTTTATCAACAAGTAAAGATAATTTAGGCTGCCTCTGGCATGAGTTGGGGATAAGATAAAAGTAAGATTGTGGAAAGAGGACCAAAAAAAAAAAAAGAGGTTGCCAGATGTTTGTCTAGTGCTTATATGCACGGGGAAAGGCTCCTTGGCAGCATCTCCTTGCTGACTATAAGTAGTCTAGTTCCCGTTGCCCCCATTGCAGAAGTCCCTTTTTACAGTCGTCGCTCTGCATTATTTGTAACGGAAAGGCCCTTTTTTCAGAGTGGAAGAGTATTTTATCGAAACGGGGGCGAAATGAGGAAGGCCCTTAAGGAAGAGGAAGAAACTGCAAGATTCGGATCGCTCCGTTGCGAAATCCTCTTCTTTCTGGCCAGTGTCACAGCAGTCCGGCGACGACGATCTGCTGGCTGCAGCGCTTTCTCTTCGCTCGTTTCTCGGATCGTCCATCGGACAGCTGCTGTGCAAGAAAGTTAAGGGAGGGGGGGGGGAGGCACCTTGTTGCCCTTTATTTTCA